TTGATTTTCGCTGCTAATACAGTCTAAAGTTCAAGTGAAACAAGTGGTATTCAGTTGTCAAATGATTTCGCTATGGCCTGGGACTATTTTTTATGTTATTTTTTGTTACCTAAGTTACTCAGTCAGTCAGTTACAATGTTTCACTGGTATTTTGAACTTTCATCTAGATTCTGGTGCAACATTGTATCAAACGACTGTACTGACAGCATTCTATGAAGCGAAATTGTTTTGTAAGCGGCTCAATTTGTCCAGTTAGTTGAAAGCAAAGTAAAAAAAAATGAAAAATATACACCTTGGTCTGATGTGTTCATGGAATTTGGTTGAATGCGTCCATCCTATGAATGGTTATTGAAACAAGTCTCTGGTGCTGTCAGTTGTTGCACACAATGGTCAGAGTTTTTTTTTAAAAGCATTGTTGACATTCTCTTGTCAATTCTGTAGGTCTTTTCAGTCAACATTAAAGGAGGGCGTTTTTCCATTGGGACATGAAAATCAATGTGGGAGGCCATATGGCCTGACATTTTGCAATGTATTGACATAATAGATTAGTGTTCCACATGCAAAAAGCTTCCCACTTCAATCTTTGCTTTAACTAATTCAGCTGCATGTCACAAACACCAATTAGTGCTAATAACTATTTACTTTTATACAGCATATGTTGAAAACAGCCTTTACATTGTACAACGAAAGCTTTAAGCAATTTGAAGGTCATATATTTTTTTTCGGTTAATAAAATATGTGAATTACACAACACACCAATGTCATACATGCTCCTTAGAAGGAGTAAGGTGTTATTATGTTTACCTATTCATTTATCTTTCCCCATGTACCAGCTGGGTGAGTTGGGCAAAGGTGCAGGGAAAGGGGGAGGTGGCGGAGGATCTATCAGAGAGGCAGGAGGAGCCTTTGGAAAGAAACAGGCCGCAGAGGAGGAAATGTACTTCAGGTGAGTTGGGACTTAAATACTACATGACCAAAAGTATGTGGACACCTGCTTATTGAACATCTCATTCCAAAATCATGGGCATTAGTATGGAGTTGGTCCCCCTTTTCTGCTATAACAGCCTCCACTCTTCTGGGAAGGCTTTCCAGTAGATGTTGGAACATTGCTGCGGGGACTTGCTTCCATTCAGCCACATGAGCATTAGTGAGGTCGAGCAGTAGTGGTCCTCTGTAGCTCAGCTGGTAGAGCACGGCGCTTATAACGCCAAGGTAGTGGGTTCGATCCCCGGGACCACCCATACACAAAAATGTATGCACGCATGACTGTAAGTCGCTTTGGATAAAAGCGTCTGCTAAATGGCATATTATTTATATTATTATTATAATGTTTGGCGATTGGGCCTGGCTCGCAGTCGGCGTTCCAATTCATCCCAAATGTGTTCGATGGGGTTGAGGTGAGGGCTCTGTGCAGGCCAGTCAAGTTCTTCCACACCAATCTCATCAAACCATTTCTGTATGGACCTCGCTTTGTGCACAAGGGGCACTGTCATGCTGAAACAGGAAAGGGCCTTCCCCAAACTGTTGCCACAAAGTTGGAAGCACAGAATCGTCTATAATGTTATTGTATGCTGCAGTAATTTCCCTTCACTGGAACTAAGGGGTCTAGCCCGAACCATGAAAAACAGCCCCAGACCATTATTCCTCCATTAAGCTCCCGACAAACAGTTATTGTGCTAACGTTGCTTCCAGAGGCAGTTTGGAAATCGGTAGTGAGTGTTGCAACCAAGGACAGATGATTGTTGCACGCTTGCCGGTCCCGTTTGAGCTTGTGTGACCTACCACTTTGCGGCTGAGCTGTTGTTGCTCCTAGACGTTTCCACTTCACAATAACAGCACTTACAGTTGACTGGGGCAGCTCTAGCAGGGCAGACATTTGTAGAACTGTCTTGTTGGAAAGGTGGCACCCAATGACGGTGCCACGTTGAAAGTCACTGAGCTCTTCAGTAAGGCCATTCTGCTGACAATTTTTGTCTATGGAGATTGCATGGCTGTGTGCTTGATTTTATACACCTGTCAGCAATAGGTGTGGCTGAAATATCCAAATCCAATCAATTTCAAGGGGTGTTGACATACTTTTGTGTTTATAGAGGTTGTGTGGCTGTCTGCCTGACCTATAAAGGCTTTGTGGCAGTCTGTCTCGTGTCCTCACTGTACCTCACACTTTCCTATCTACGAATCCAGACGTAAAGAGCAGGAACAGTTGGCTGCACTGAAGCAGCACCATGAAGAGGAGATTGACCACCACAAGAAGGAGATTTCGAGGCTGCAGAGCGAGATTGACCGTCACAAGGGGAAAATTAGGAAGCTGAAGCATGATGACTGAGACTCACTCCATTAGAATGAAGCCCAGGGATTCTTTATTGCCAACCCCTAGTCATTGCCTGCGCTGCCTTTCTGGGGCAGCGCTGTGTATGTGTGAATGATTGTTCTGTATATGCTTGAGATTATTAAAACAATTATTTGAAATGGTTAATGTTCTGCTTTTTCATGGTTATTGCTTTCAATTATTGTTAGTGCTAAGATGATGATTTGAGATGCCACATTACAGAAGGATAATTGATGATGGTCAGTGTAGCTGGCAGAGGCGTCATGCCCATAGGGGGCACAAGGGCACGTACCCCCTCAGATTTGTCCTGTTTTGACATTTTCCGATGTTACATTAATTACTAAACTTAATTTATAAGCTCACGTTTTATAATAATGATTTATAAAATAAATTGTCAGCTATATTTTGCGGATGGGCACACTGACTGGACCAGGCAAAGAGTACACCTCCCCTATTCTCCCTAGTAAGTGGTTCCTTCCAAAGTGCACCACCACGGAGCAAAGATATTTAATTGATTTTTATTAGAAATTTTTAACGATGAAATCTCAATGCGCCATCTCCATTTTCAAGAGAGTCCAAATAAAACATGTAAAAAACAATACTTAGTAACAAGAATAATATAGCAACTACTGTCTAATAATAACAATAATAAAACAACTTACATTAACAGCATAAAAATAGGTCTACAACTAATAAAACCTACTGCTACAACTACTAATAAAACTAAGTACCTATAATATATATACATACATACAGTACCAGTCAAAACTTTGGACACAGCTACTCATTCAAGGGTTTTTCTTTATTTTTACTATTTTTTACATTGTAGAATAATAGTGAAGACATCAAAACTATGAAATAACACATATGGAATCATGTAGTAACCAAAAAAGTGTTTTTTGAGATTCTTCAAATAGCCACCCTTTGCCTTAATGACAGCTTTGCACACTCTTGGCATTCTCTCAACCAGCTTCACCTGGAATGCTTTTCCAACAGTCTTGAAGGAGTTCCCATATATGCTGAGCACTTGTTGGCTGCTTTTCCTTTAATCTGCAGTCCAACTCATCCCAAACTATCCCAATTGGTTTGAGGTCGGGGGATTGTGGAGGCCAGGTCATCTGATGCAGCACTCCATCACTCTCCTTCTTGGTAAAATAGCCCTTACACAGCCTGGATGTGTGTTGGGTCATTGTCCTGTTGAAAAACAAAGCCCAAACCAGATGGGATGGCGTATCGCTGCAGAACCCCCACACATCACACCACCTCCTCCATGCTTTACAGTGTGAACTACACAACTAAATCAAATGCTTTTGATAAATTCATAAAGATGGCACCAGTTAATTATAGAGATATGTTACGTCAGTAGAGGAGAGAGAGTCGAGTGACACACACACAGCATTTGATTTGATTTTAGCTGCTGGTGGTGGTCAGGATTAACAGGAAGTCTGTTTGTAAATGAATTTGATCAAGCTATGTGGCCTATTAATTCCTTCTTGATGAATACAAAAAAAAATATGTTTCTCTGTAATACTAGCCACCTTGCAATTTTATGAAGTTGGCTTAAGCTAGCCAGCTAGATAGGTTCCCGATCTCCCAACCTTGTAACTAGCTACCAAGCCATTTCAGGCTATCAATCAAGTAAGTAACTTGTCTAACTATCTCAGCTGGCATGCCTGCTGGCAAGGTTGCTAGACTTTATAAAATACTACAATTGCTTTAATTCTTGGGTTATGATACTATATACCAGTGTGTCAGTTGTATTAAACTCCATAAAAGGCATAAAGGTTCTTAATCGATGTGCATTATTAATTAAATGACAAATTAATAGGTTGAGGTGTGCTTAGATAACCTATATAGAAAAATAGACATTTTTACATAGAGTTAGGCATAATGATTATGGCTCTAGATTGCAGGAAAAAGCTGTTTCAGGTGTTTGAAAAATGCTAAATTCCATCCTCAAGTACTTTGCCCCCTCTAAAATAATGTGTGCATGATGCCCCTGGTAGATGGTAATCGATAAGGTGATACCATCACCAGCTATTACCGCCAGGCCGCCGTTAAAAATCCCATGTACACAAAACCGCCAGAATCCAGAAATAATTAGTTCCCAACAGTATAAGACTTTTTTTTTTTATAACTCTGCCAAACAAGGGCAGATAAGCCATTGGGGTTTTCAAGTTGGCACCTTCCATCTTTAATCTTTATTGATGAGCCCGCGACATCTCAAGAAAGCTCAACAGTGAGTTCTGGCGTCCCAGAACCACCCCCATCTGTACCTGCCTAGTCTTCTCCCTGCTCACTTCGGGGCCCAGCTGGGGTCATTCCTCTTCAGCTAGAGCCATTGGCTACTCCTTTCGGCAGCACCTGATGTTGCCTTGATGGTTTGGCGAAGGGCTTGGCTGCGGATTCCAAGGTCCTTCAGCAACATGGTGGTGGATGTTGCCACAAATCACCCAACCTCCACTGGGCAAACCTTTGCTTTCCAGCCACGCTGCTCTGCATCAGCTGCAAGCGCAGCATTTTTCTCTTTATGAGAAAATGTAATGGGAAATGTTTTCTGTAATCGCCACTCTGCCCAGGGGGTGGCAATGTGCACATGATATGCTGCGTATAAAGCCCTGTACAAATCGCGTGAAGAAGAATGAAAAAACTCGTAATTTCCTTTAAAAGTATAGCGCCGCCCAGAAACCCCTGTCTTTTACAGCGGGCAACCCCGTCTGTCTTTCTTTTCGCAAATCATGGCGGACCGGTTCAATAAGGTGTGTAACAGCGCAAGAACCAACATCACTATATTAGTTAATAATGCAGCCATATAGATTAATTTGATGCAGAACTGGAGCTAACTATTGATGTGTGTTAAATAAAGACCAGTGGAGGTCATTCGTTGCTTTATTTGACACATGAATGATGCCAACTCTAGCTAAACTAGTAATGCCTACATTTAACGTTAGCTAGCTAATTAAAGCAAACTAGGCTAGCTAGCTACAAGTACCCTGCAAAAATGATTCCCTGATTCCTTGGCATTTTTGGTGAAGTGTTTAGATTAAATACCTCCATTTCTCAATTACATGACTGAATTCAAGTTTCAATAGTTGGGTAACACTAGCTAGCTACATTTGCAGGCCGCGTTTGCACGAGCTAATGTTTAGCCCCAGTTAAGAAGCTATGAACGTCCTTGCCAGCCGGACGTGGCCATGTGGACACTAAACCATAACTAAAATGTATTTATCCGTGTTCGTATTATTTGTTTGCTTGTCAGTGATGTTTATCACAGTAACGTATTCGAGTTTGACGACCATGAGAATACTTTACATGCACTACCATCTGAGACATAAAAGCAATCTCGTTGAATCATTTGAACACCAGGTTTTGGGCAACTAGCTATTCACTTATGACTTGATTATGCTTATCCTCCAAGGTTCTGCTGCTTGATGGCAGAGGCCATCTACTTGGTCGTCTTGCTGCCATTGTGGCTAAGCAAGTTTTGCTGGGTGAGTCTTGGAAGTCCAATATTTTGTCAATTAAAACTAATCTCGTGACTGATCATTATCCAGTCCCAGGATATTATCTCACTTGATGTGTAATTACGCCTTGATGTGGACATAGCCATGTCTAGTTTGCTACAACTGTCAGTGATGCTTTTTTTAACCTACAATGATTGAGTAACTGCAATGATCATTCACATTACCATCTGAGATGGTGTATATTATACAATTGGCTGGTGTTTCAATGTAAGTCATGATTTCTCTCATTTTCAGGCCACAAGGTGGTAGTTGTGAGATGTGAGGGTATCAACATCTCTGGGAACTTCTACCGTAACAAATGTAAGTTATTGACAGTTTTTGTATATTTTCAGGTTGACCTTTTTGGTTGAATTGTAATGTTTTGTAGGTCCTACGGTTGATTCATAGTAAATATTTTCAGCTTAAGCTTTGCTTGTCAGTGATTAACACAGTAAATATTTTTGTTTAACGACCAGGAGAATACTTTACATGCACAACCATCTGACACATTAAGCAACATAGTATATGTCAACTACAGTAGTGAAATAATTGTGGCTGTGGTGAAGCGGTTGAGACAATGGCTTAGCTTGACGGTGTACTGCACCTGTTTTATGAATAGTGAAGTACCTGGCTTTCCTGCGTAAAAGGATGAACACCAACCCCTCTCGTGGACCATACCACTTCAGAGCTCCCAGCAGAATCTTCTGGAGGACCGTAAGGGGTAAGATCAAAACCCCTTCTGTTAATCTCTGGGAAAGGTTTTTGCTGTTTTTCAGCTCTCTTATTGTGCCAGTGGTTTGCATGGACTTAACCTATATGGATATTTATTTAAATAGCCATATTGGGTTGAATGCATGAAGTACACACATTCTGAACTCTACCTTGGACAATGGATGGTTCCTACTTGACTGTGATGAACACTTATCCCAAAGCTGATCATTTTGATGAGAAACTTTCGGATCTGACTGCTGAGTTTAGTCAGGGCCATAATGCTGTGCTGGGATCTATTAAGTCACAGAAGTTTCTGTACATTGGGAATGAAAGCATGTCATATTCACAATCTAAAATTGGCATGGAACCTAAGTGTGTATCTCTTTAAGTATTGTGATTTTATCCTTGGCTTCCCTTGCACCACGAAGTATTGCCTATCCAGTGCTGGGTGACCTAATTGCCTAGAAACATCTTAATGTTGTTGATGGCCCCTTTGACCCCAACAGGCATGCTCCCTCACAAAACCAAAAGAGGACAGGCTGCATTGGAGAGGTTGAAGGTGTTCGATGGTGTTCCCCCCTCCTTATGACAAGGTGACTGATGTTTCAATAATTCAGCGTAACTCTATGATTGTGTGTTGTCAGTGATGCAACTTTTTCATACATTGTTTGAGTATTGACTTTGAGAATACCCCTGAATCTGGGATGCAAATGTCATCCCCCTCTAAGGGACTTGCAGTTGCGTTTGGAGCTGACGTTTTATTTTGTTCCAACAGAGGAAGCGCATGGTCGTACCTGCCGCCCTGAAGATTGTGCGTCTGAAGCCCACTCGCAAGGTAAGCCTAAAATCAGTATCAAATAACGCCACTGAATTGATCAAAGCTGCATTAACTAGTAGGTAGCTGTATTTTAAAAGTTGCAGGCTGTGCTAATGTTTAGCCACGTCGTTCTTGCGAGTCAGACATTGGCCAACATGTATTTAGCCAGTTACCAATCTTTGCTTATTGTCAGTGATGTTTACCACAGTAAGTATTCGAGTTTGACGACCATGAGAATACTTTACATGCACTACCATCTGAGACATAAAGCAACATCCAAATAATCATTTTAATCACAAGTAGTGACAACAGTTCTTTTATGATCTGATATGAATTGTTAGCCTAATTGATTTGTAACACTATTGTTTCATGAGTAATGTTTCCTGTCCTTTGTGTGAACTTGCCTTCCCCAGTTCGCCCTCCTCGGACGTCTGGCCCACGAGGTCGGCTGGAAGTACCAGGCTATCACAGCCACATTGGAAGAAAAGAGGAAAGAGAAGGCCAAGATCCGGTACACCAAGAAAAAGACAGAGACCAAGCTGTCAAAGCTGGCAGAGAAGAATGTGGAGAGCAAGATTTCAAAGTACACTGCTGTCCTTAAACAATACGGTGTCCTTGTCTGAGCTGATTCGTGGTTGCCTATAAAGATAAATAAATGTTTATAGAAAGTGTTTGAGTTGCTTGATTTCTTATGTTTGAGTTGCATGGCGTTGTGAAGGAACCTAACAAGAGTAATGCATCAATGACATGCAGTTCTACAGCTGGAGATGAACAGTGTTGCTTATAAAGTTTGAACATGGCAGAAGCAGATTATACATTTTTCATGGTCAAGAAGAACGACACATTTTGCGTGTAACAATTTATTATTGTGCTTAATGTCTCAATCTTTCTATGGCGTCAAGCCTATTCAACGCGATGGCCCTGTGTGGTGCTGTCGGAAACCCCGTGTATCAAATACGTGCGCGCGACTGGCAGTTGTAGAGGAAGGGGCGTGAATTACACTAGCTGTCAATTCGCCAGCGTGCAAACCCAAAAAAACAAGAACCCCATTTAGGAACATTTTTATTCACATTTGGTATATTGTGACAATTTGAACGTTTCCTCGTAGTAGGCTTTGTGGATCGGTAAGTGCACTCTGTTTTTCTGGTATTGAGGAAAGGATTGGGCAAATGGGCTGTTGAAATTGCAATACTGAAGCAACTAACGCTAGCTAGCTACAGCAGTACTAGCTGGACTGAGTGAGCCGAAACGATAGGCCCCGTTGTGTTGGATATGAGTTAATCAATCATGGGGTAAAACGCAATTAAATGGCATATTATACTTTTTTTAAAGCATATCTCTAATAGTATAATTACCGGTATTTTAAGCGAATTGCCTATTTAATTCTTTTTTTTTTTGTGTACACGAACCAAGACGAGACGAACCCATCCTCCCACTCCCAGATAAAACAGCCAGACAGACATGCGTCTTGCAATCCATCCAGTAACGTTAGTAGCCAGATGCCTCACTCACATGCAAAATATATTGCAAACTAGGAGCGAGCTACTTTTCAACTGACTGGAATGTTATTGTAATAGCATACATTAAAATGCATTTCGGTTAGCTTGCAGTACGGTGACCTCAAAGTCCGTGAAAAAGTAGCCCAACCTGGACTCGGGTAGACGTAACAAAGTAAATACGGGACACTCAAATTAGTATGTTACATTTCGTGTGATATGTTAATTTGTGGAGGTCCATAATCCATTTCGTATGTTACTAATTAAGATTGGTATGATACACTATATGCCATTTAGCAGACGCTGTTATCCAAAGCGACTTACAGTCATGTGTGCATACAGTTTTATGTATGGGTGGTCCCGGGGATCGAACCCACTACCCTGGCGTTACAAGCGCCATGCTCTACCAATTCAGCTACAGAGGACCAAATTAGTGGATTCTGCTATTTCAGCCACACCCGTTGCTGACAGGTGTATAAAATCGAGCACACGGCCATGCGATCTCCATAGACAAACACTGGCAGTAGAATGGCCTTACTGAAGAGCTCAGTGACTTTCAACGTGGCACCGTCATAGGATGCCACCTTTACAACAAGTCAGTTTGTCAAATTTCTGCCCTGCTAGAGCTGCCCCGGTCAACTGTAAGTGCTGTTATTGTGAAGTGGAAACGTCATGGTTCTGGCTAGGCCCCTTAGTTCCAGTGAAGGGAAATCTTAACGCTACAGCATACATTGACATACTAGATGATTCTGTGCTTCCAACTTTGTGGCAACAGTTTGGGGAAGGCCCTTTGCTGTTTCACCATGACAATGCCCCCGTGCACAAAGCGAGGTCCATACAGAAATGGTTTGTCGAGATCGGTGTGGAAGAACTTGACTGGCCTGCACAGAGCCCTGACCTCAACCCCATCAAACACCTTTGGGATGAATTGGAACGCCGACTGCGAGCAAGGCCTAAACGCCCAACATCAGTGCCCAACCTCACTAATGCTCTTGTGGCTGAATGGAAGCAAGTCCCCTCAGCAATGTTCCAACATCTAGTGGAAAGCCTTCCCAGAAGAGTGGAGGCTGTTATAGCAGCAAAGGGGGGACCAACTCCATATTAATGCCCATGAGTTTGGAATGAATGTTCAACGTGCAGATGTCCACTATACCTTTGGTCATTTGTTGTGGTTAACATTAGATAGGTGGGTAATGTTAGCTGGGGTTAAAGGTGTACTTAGGGATTTTGGCAATAAGGCCCTTTATCTACTTTCTCAGAGTCAGATTAATTTGTGGATAACAAAAATCACAACAGTTGTGACAGAAACAGGAAGTTCCGTTGTAATTTTATAAATGCCAACAGATCATTTGTTAGTTCGACATGGTGGGATCTTTTTTTGTCAGAAAAAATTATAATAATTATGCGTCGAAGTAAATTTGGAGTCACGCGATGAAATGGTGTGTGGTCCTCCCACTACGACTCTGGAAACCATGCAGTATATAAGGCTACAGATGAAATAAGCTTGATGCTGCTTTCCAATAAATATTGAGGGTCTTATTCTGGTGACATGATGATCGATGCTTAACTGTCGTTTGACAAATAAAAATATTCTTGGTCTTATCCATAATTATCTCATTACGTAGACTAGTCTACCCTAGAGCGCAGGTGCCAAGACCAGAGTAGGCACATTTGCTATATAACGCGACAGTTTTTGTGGCAAAACTATCGGTAGAGTTGAAAATGCAATGGAGACACATTGAACTTTAGATTTTTATTAGGTACATAACAACTTAAGCGAAAAATTACATTTTGTGTGCACTACGTCATCACGCACAGATTTTTATCCACAACAAGTCCGTTTGGTGGAAACATACCACTAGTGGGAAAATGCGCATATTTCTTTAATGCAGATTTTAGAATATTCACATAAAAATCTGTCGCCAATTGTATGGAAACCTAGCAACTGGCACTTAACTCATGTTTTGTTGGCAGTGTAAATAGATAGCTAACTTACCAAGCTCAACTTCCTATTTTTCCAACTTCCATTTCAAATATGCATCCACTGAATTTCTGTTAACCTAGGCCTGATCATTCTTTCTCTGCTGGAGGTTTATTGGGCTGTTGTATAACGATAACATTAGCTAGGTCAGGTGGCAATGGCAAATAATTGTTAGTAAGGTCTAATTTATTGCAGCACAGTTGCATTTGACCCTTTATCTAATGTTCATATCCATAGTTGGGCAGTATAGTATTATGTCTTGCATATTGTTTGTGAATAATGTGCAGCATGTATACTCCTTCATGTGGTTTCTAGTCACAGCCATGATGCACTGATACCTCTTTTGATTCCCATCATTTGTCTCTTAGGGGAATGGCAACTGAGGTGAATGGCAGTTCAGCTCCGGATAAAGAGGAAGAGGAGCCCATGGACATAACTGTAACACACACAGAGAACTACCAGACACTCATAGACGCAGGCCTTCCACAGAAAGTGGCGGAGAGCCTGGATAATATATTTCAGACTGGTAAGTGTAAGGGGGGTTGTCCACAGTACTACTTGATGGCATTTCATAATTTTTCAAAGACATCAATGTACAGTGGGGAAAAAAAGTATTTAGTCAGCCACCAATTGTGCAAGTTCTCCCACTTAGAAAGATGAGAGAGGCCTGTAATTTTCATCATAGGTACACGTCAACTATGACAGACAAATTGAGGGAAAAAAATCCAGAAAATCACATTGTAGGATTTTTAATGAATTTATTTGCAAATTATGATGGAAAATAAGTATTTGGTCACCTACAAACAAGCAAGATTTCTGGCTCTCACAGACCTGTAACTTCTTCTTTAAGAGGCTCCCCTGTCCTCCACTCATTACCTGTATTAATGGCACCTGTTTGAACTTGTTATCAGTATAAAAGACACCTGTCCACAACCTCAAACAGTCACACTCCAAACTCCACTATGGCCAAGACCAAAGAGCTGTCAAAGGACACCAGAAATAAAATTGTAGACCTGCACCAGGCTGGGAAGACTGAATCTGCAATAGGTAAGCAGCTTGGTTTGAAGAAATCAACTGTGGGAGCAATTATTAGGAAATGGAAGACATACAAGACCGCTGATAATCTCTCTCGATCTGGGGCTCCACGCAAGATCTCACCCCGTGGGGTCAAAATGATCACAAGAACGGTGATCAAAAATCCCAGAACCACACGGGGGGACCTAGTGAATGACCTGCAGAGAGCTGGGACCAAAGTAACAAAGCCTACCATCAGTAACACACTACGCCGCCAGGGACTCAAATCCTGCAGTGCCAGACGTGTCCCCCTGCTTAAGCAAGTACATGTCCAGGCCAGTCTGAAGTTTGCTAGAGTGCATTTGGATGATCCAGAAGAGGATTGGGAGAATGTCATATGGTCAGATGAAACCAAAATATAACTTTTTGGTAAAAAACTCAACTCGTCGTGTTTGGAGGACAAAGAATGCTGAGTTGCATCCAAAGAACACCATACCTACTGTGAAGCATGGGGGTGGAAACATCATGCTTTGGGGCTGTTTTTCTGCAAAGGGACCAGGACGACTGATCCGTGTAAAGGAAAGAATGAATGGGGCCATGTATCCTGAGATTTTGAGTGAAAACCTCCTTCCATCAGCAAGGGCATTGAAGATGAAACGTGGCTGGGTCTTTCAGCATGACAATGATCCCAAACACACCGCCCGGGCAACGAAGGAGTGGCTTTGTAAGAAGCATTTCAAGGTCCTGGAGTGGCCTAGCCAGTCTCCAGATCTCAACCCCATAGAAAATCTTTGGAGGGAGTTGAAAGTCCATGTTGCCCAGCGACAGCCCCAAAACATCACTGCTCTAGAGGAGATCTGCATGGAGGAATGGGCCAAAATACCAGCAACAGTGTGTGAAAACCTTGTGAAGACTTACAGAAAACGTTTGACCTGTGTCATTGCCAACAAAGGGTATATAACAAAGTATTGAGAAACTTTTGTTATTGACCAAATACTTATTTTCCACCATAATTTGCTAATAAATTCATTAAAAATCCTACAATGTGATTTTCTAGATTTTTTTTTCTCATTTTGTCTGTCATAGTTGACGTGTACCTATGATGAAAATTACAGGCCTCTCTCATCTTTTTAAGTGGGAGAACTTGCACAATTGGTAGCTGACTAAATACTTTTTTTCCCCACTGTATATTTCTGTAAGCTCAAGAAGACTGTATCAACCAAAGTATTCCACCTTGGTCAGTGGTCATATGATTTAAGTCACTTTGAGTAAAGGGGTCAGTAAGTGGATTGCTGTGGAATGGTGACATGCAGAGCCCTCTTCGCCGAGCGACATCATCATGTTTCAGTGGCTCTCACCAGGAATGTATGACCTATAAATAGAATACCTCTCTCTCTGTCTGTCTGTCTCTGTCTGTCTCTGTCTGTCTCTCTCTGTATCTGTGTGTATAATAATACATTATTAGGTGGGTTCTTACATTTGTCCTATTTCACACATGTACAAGTGTGTGTTGTACAGTGGCTTGCAAAAGTATTCACCCCCCTTGGCATTTTTCCTATTTTGTTGCCTTACAACCTGGAATTAAAATTGATTTTTTGGGGGGGTTTGTATCATTTGATTTACACAACATGCCTACCACTTTGAAGATGCAAAATATTTTTTATTGTGAAACAAACAAGAAATAAGACAAAAAACTGAACTTGAGCGTGCATAACTATTCACCCCCCCAAAGTCAATACTTTGTAGAGCCACCATTTGCAGCAATTACAGCTGCAAGTCTCTTGGGGTATGTCTCTTGGGGTATGTCTCTATAAACTGGATTTTTGCCCATTCTTCAAGGCAAAACTGCTCCAGCTCCTTCAAGTTGGATGGGTTCCGCTGGTGTACAGCAATCTTTAAGTCATACCACAGATTCTCAATTGGATTGAGGTCTGGGCTTAGACTAGGCCATTCCAAGACATTTAAATGTTTCCCCTTAAACCACTCGAGTGTTGCTTTAGCAGTATGCTTAGGGTCATTGTCCTGCTGGAAGGTGAATCTCCATCCCAGTCTCTAATCTCTGGAAGACTGAAACAGGTTTCCCTCAAGAATTTCCCTGTATTTAGCGCCATCCATTATTCCTTCAATTCTGACCAGTTTCCCAGTCCCTGGATGGTGTTCTCGGGGTGATGAGAGGTGTTGGGTTTGCGCCAGACATAGCATTTTCCTTGATGGCCAAAACTAAATTTTAGTCTCATCTGACCAGAGTACCTTCTTTCATATGTCTGGGGAGTCTCCCTTTTGGCGAACACCAAACGTGTTTGCTTATTTTTTTCTTTAAGCAATGCCTTTTTTCTGGCCACTCTCCGCTGTGGAGCTTTGCAGCTCCTTCAGGGTTATCTTTGGTCTCTTTGTTGCCTCTGATTAATGCCCTCTCTGCCTGGTTCGTGAGTTTTGGTAGGCGGCCCTCTCTTGGCAGGTTTGTTGTGGTGCCATATTCTTTAAATTTTTTAATAATGGATTTAATGGTGCTCCGTGGGATGTTAAAAGTTTCGGATATTTTTTTATAACCCAACCCTGATCTGTACTTCTCCACAACTTTGTCCCTGACCTGTTTGGAGAGATCCTTGGTCTTGATGGTGCCGCTTGCTTGGTGGTGCCCCTTGCTTAGTGGTGTTGCAGACTCAGGGGCCTTTCAGAACAGGTGTATACAATGGGGAGAACAAGTATTTGATACACTGCCGATTTTGCAGGTTTTCCTACTTACAAAGCATGTAGAGGTCTGTAATTTTTTATCATAGGTACACTTCAACTGTGAGAGACGGAATCTAAAAAATCCAGAAAATCACATTATATGATTTTTAAGTAATTAATTTGCATTTTATTGCATGACATAAGTATTTGATACATCAGAAAAGAAGAACATAATATTTGATACAGAAACCTTTGTTTGCAATTACAGAGATCATACGTTTCCTGTAGGTCTTGACCAGGTTTGCACACACTGCAGCAGGGATTTTGGGCCACTCCTCCATACAGACCTTCTCCAGATCCTTCAGGTTTCGGGGCTGTCGCTGGGCAATACGGACTTTCAGCTCCCTCCAAAGATTTTCTATTGGGTTCAGATCTGGAGACTGGCTAGGCCACTCCAGGACCTTGAGATGCTACTTACGGAGCCACTCCTTAGTTGCCCTGGCTGTGTGTTTCGGGTCGTTGTCATGCTGGAAGACCAAGCCACGACCCGTCTTCAATGCTCTTACTGAGGGAAGGAGGTTGTTGGCCAAGATCTCGCGATACATGGCCCCATCCATCCTCCCCTCAATACGGTGCAGTCGTCCTGTCCCCTTTGCAGAAAAGCATCCCCAAAGAATGACGTTTCCACCTCCATGCTTCACGGTTGGGATGGTGTTCTTGGGGTTGTACTCATCCTTCTTCTTCCTCCAAACATGGCGAGTGGAGTTTAGACCAAAAAGCTCTATTTTTGTCTCATCAGACCATATGACCTTCTCCCATTCCTCCTCTGGATCATCCAAATGGTCATTGGCAAACTTCAGATGGGCCTGGACATGCGCTGGCTTGAGCAGGGGGACCTTGCGTGCACTGCAGGATTTTAATCCATGACGGCGTAGTGTGTTACTAATGGTTTTCCTTGAAACTGTGGTCCCAGCTCTCTTCAGGTCATTGACCAGGTCCTGCCGTGTAGTTCTGGGCTGATCCCTCACCTTCCTCATGATCATTGATGCCCCACGAGGTGAGATCTTGCATGGAGCCCCAGACCGAGGGTGATTGACCGTCATCTTGAACTTCTTCCATTTTCTAATAATTGTGCCAACAGTTGTTGCCTTCTCACCAAGCTGCTTGCCTATTGTCCTGTAGCCCATCCCAGCCTTGTGCAGGTCTACAATTTTATCCCTGATGTCCTTACACAGCTCTCTGGTCTTGGCCATTGTGGAGAGGTTGGAGTCTGTTTGATTGAGTGTGTGGACAGGTGTCTTTTATACAGGTAATGAGTTCAAACAGGTGCAGTTAATACAGGTCATGAGTGGAGAACTGGAGGGCTTCTTAAAGAAAAACTAACAGGTCTGTGAGAGCCGGAATTCTTACTGGTTGGTAGGTGATCAAATACTTATGTCATGCAATAAAATGCAAATTAATTACTTAAAAATCATACAATGTGATTTTCTGGATTTTTGTTTTAGATTCCGTCTCTCACAGTTGAAGTGTACCTATGATAAGAATTACAGACCTCTACATGCTTTGTAAGTAGGAAAACCTGCAAAATAGGCAGTGTATCAAATACTTGTTCTCTCCACTGTATCTACTGAGATCATGTGACAGATCATGTGACACTTAGATTGCACACAGGTGGACTTTATTTAACTAATTATGTGACTTCTGAAGGTAATTGGTTGCATCAGATCTTATTTAGGGGCTTCATAGCAAAGGGGGTGAATACATATGCACGCACCAGAATTTTTTGAAACAAGTTATTTTTTTCATTTGACCACCAATTTGGACTATTTGGTGTATGTCCATTACATGAAATCCAAATAAAAATCCATTTAAATTACAGGTTGTAATGCAACAAAATAGGAAAAACGCCAAGGGGGATGAATACTTTTGCAAGGCACTGTACGTGTGAATTAGACATTTGTTTTTTGCATGTCCCACACCCCGAGACACCCTTGGAGAGTGGGGTCACAGCCAGGGATCAGCCATTATTGATGGCGACCCTGGAGCAATTAGGGTTAAGTGCCTTGCTCAAGGGCACATTGACAGATTTTTCACCTAGTCGGCTCGGGGATTCGAACAAGCAACCTTTCGGTTACTGGCCCAACGCTAGGCTACCTGCCGCCCACTGTGTGTGTGTGTTGTGTCTCTGCATTCCAGGACTGGTGGCTTACACTGACCTGGACGAGAGAGCCATTGACGCCCTCAGGGAGTTCAATGAGGAGGGAGCCCTGTCAGTGTTACTGCAGTTCAAGGAGAGTGACCTGTCACATGTGCAGGTGAGTGGTCCTGTCCACACTGTCCCTCAAAAGTAGTCTTACAAGAAGCTAAAAAGAATAATAGTGATTTACACTTAAAATCTATTGGTGCTCTCTCTCTCAGAACAAAAGTGCATTTCTCTGTGGTGTGATGAAGACATACAGACAGCGAGAAAAGCAAGGAAGTAAAGTTCAAGAATCCACAAAGGGTCCTGATGAGACTAAGATAAAGGTGAACAAATAGTTTCTTATTTTTTCCATTAAGTGCAATACGTTTATATTTTAACAGTGATGGAAATATGTCATGCAGGTCTCTGAATGAATTTATGTGTTGTTGATGCTGTCTAGGCTCTTCTGGAAAGAACAGGTTACACTTTGGATGTCACCACAGGACAGAGGAAGTATGGGGGGCCTCCACCTGACGAGGTGTACTCAGGGGCCCAGCCTGGAATCGGAACAGAGGCAAGAAGCACAACCTTTACTGGCTGTGAAAGATATAGTCATCTCATGTATTGGCTGTTAGGGAGATGTCCTCTCAATTATTGTCTGTTGTAAAAAAATATTTGTAACCTAATGGAAATGAATGCTGGTGAAAGACTGTTCAACATCTAATATGCCTTTTCACAAACCAACCTCTTAGATTTCTAGGGAGCACCATCTTATCCAAGTAAAATACAATCATAGTTACACAGTATGTCTTTAATTTGACATTTTTATCTTATCAATGCAGGTATTTGTCGGCAAGATCCCCAGGGACCTGTATGAGGATGAGCTGGTCCCTCTGTTTGAGAAAGCGGGGCCCATTTGGGACCTGCGTCTGATGATGGACCCCCTTCTCTCGGGTCAGAACAGAGGATATGCCTTCATCACCTTCTGCAATAAAGATGCTGCCCTAGAGGCCGTCAAGCTTGTAAGATTTCCCCTTTTAATCACCAGACATAAAGAGCATGATTTGGCAATTAACAGTATTTTCTTTGCTATCCTTGAACCTTGTAGACAGGTGGGTCACTTTGTCTTCATCATACCAGAGTTATCTGGGAAGTGCAACTGTGCATGACTTACCTGTGTGGGGCAAAATTTTGAGAACACTTCTTGTTGATCTTTTTGTTTTAGTGTGATAATTATGAAATCCGGTCAGGTAAATACCTGGGTGTCTGCATCTCTGTCGCAAACAATCGGCTGTTTGTTGGGTCAATTCCAAAGAACAAGACAAGAGAAAGCATATTGGAAGATTTCAGCAAAGTCACAGGTTAGAGAAAGATCAGTACCATTTTTGTATCATCTTCTTTTGTTCCCCTTAAATTGAAATAATGGTTTATATTTGAAATGTTGTTGTGTTACAACTTAATTTAAAATGGATTAAATTGAGATTTTAGTCACTGGCCTACACACATTACCCCAGAAGGTCAGTGGAATTATTTTTAAGATACATTTTTACAAAAAGGAAAAGCTGAAATGTCTTGAGTCAATAAGTATGGAGCCCCATTTTTATGGCAAGCCTAAATAAGTTCAGGAGTAAAAATTTACTTAACAAGTCACATAATACAGTGCCTTCGGAAAGTATTCAGATCCCTTGACTTTTTCCACATTTTGTTACGTTACAGCCTTATTCTAAAATGGATTAAATAAAAACATTTTATCAGCAATCTACACACAATCCAAGATGGCGTAGCAGTGCGGTCGTGTACTCTGTGTGTGTCCGTGTAAATAACCTTTTTTTTGTATTTTTCGTACATATTTGGCTATCACACTTTTCATCCTTCTACTAAATAGACTTGCAACCCGCCTCACTCAATGTGGAACGGATTCTATTATTGACTTACCTTTTATCTAGAATCTCCAGTTGAAACTAGCTAGCCAGCTAACTAGCTACTTGCGATTAGCCACCGTTAGCGGTTTTCACCCAGAACATCGGATTTTCTGCCGGAATAACTGAATCACTGGACATTAACACCGGATCGCAACTAGCTAGCCGCAACCGAATGGATGTTGCTGTTGGCTAATCACCACTGCCCCCGAAGCAAGCACCAGTTAGCCTTGAGCTAGCCTCGAGCCAGGCCCATATCCCGGCTATCTACCTCTCTGTCTACCGGACGGGAGTAGCCAGCTAACTAGCTACTTGCTATTAGCCACTGTTAGCGGTTTTTCACCATTGTCCGTGGCCTGCACTACCTACCAGCCAGCTCTAGCCTGGACTATTATCGGCCAGTCTGCACTGTCTGCACAGCGCGTTATCGACCCAGAACATATCGGTTTTTCTGCCGGAATCACTGAATCACTGGACATTTAACTCCGGATCATCGCAACTAGCTAGCTGCAACCAAATGGATGTTGTTGTTGGCTAAGCAGCCTTGAGCTAGCCTCGAGTCAGGCCCATCTCCCGTTTATCTACCTCTCTGTCAACCGGACGGGACCTCCTAGAGTCGACACGGAGCTCCGCCGATCCATCACGACTGGTCTGCCAACGTAATCGTCTGTGGTTTCAAGAGGCTTCCCGTTGCGACGACCATGAAGATCCATCTGCTAGCCCCGGCCCGCTAGCACACGCAAACAACAGCCGTGCTTCCTGCTAGCCTGTGCTGTAGCACCAATTCGAACTGCTCTCGGACTCACATATTGCTGTTCACTGGACCTTATGATCACTCAGCTGCACAGCTGATGCCTGCTGGACTGTTCCTTTACACGGTACCCTGTCCTTTTTATCTGTTTAGCCTCAGCCCAAACTTTCATCGCCATTACCAGTTGTTGTCTTAGCTCTCTCTAATAACACCTGTGATTGCTTTATGCCTCTCTCCCATGTGAATATGCCTTGCCTATTGCTGTTCCAGTTAGTTCTTATTATACAATTTCACTGTAAAGCCCCAAGTCCCTCTCAAATTGCCTCAAATAGCTCCTTTGTTCCACCCCCCATACACGTGAGACCGGCTCAATCGGTGCCTCCAGTGATGCTATCTCTTTCATTGTTACCCAACGCGTAGGTTTACCTCCACTGTACTCATATTCTTCCATATCCTTGTCTGTACATAATGCCCTGAATCTATTCTACAACGCCCGGAAATCTGCCCCCTTTACTCTCTGTACCCAACACACTAGAAGACCAGTTCTTAAAGCCTTTAGCCGTATCCTTATTCTAGTCCTCCTCTGTTCCTCTGGTGATGTAGAGGTAAACCCAGGCCCTGCAGCCCCCAGTATCACTCCTACTCCCCAGGAGCTATCATTTGTTGACTTCTGTAACCGTAAAAGCATTGGTTTTTTGCATGTTAACATCAGAACCCTCCTCCCTAAGTTTGAGTTATTCACTGCGTTAGCACACTCCGCCAACCCTGATCTTCTAGCAGTGTCTGAATCCTGGCTTAGGAAGGCCACCAAAAATTCAGAAATGTCCGTCCCCAACTACAACATTTTCTGTCTAGTTAGAACTGCCAAAGGGGGTGGAGTTGCAATCTACTGTAGAGATAGCCTACAGAGCTCTATCATACTATCCAGGTCTGTGCCCAAACAGTTTGAGCTCCTACTTCTAAAAATCCACCTTTCCAGAAATACGTCTCTCACTGTTGCCGCTTGCTACAGACCCCCCCCCAGCCCCCAGCTGTGCCCTGGACACCATATGTAAATTGATTGCCCCCCATCTATCCTCAGAGTTCGTACTGCTTGGTGACCTAAACTGGGATATGCTTAACACCCCGGCCATCCTACAATCCAAACTAGATGCCCTCAATCTCACACAAATTATCAAGGAACCTACCAGGTACAACCCTAAATCTGTAAACATGGGCACCCTTATAGATTTCATCCTGACAAATTTACCCTCTAAATACACCTCCGCTGTCTTCAACCAGGATCTCAGCGATCACTGCCTTATTGCCTGCATCCGTAACGGATCCGTGGTCAAACGACCACCCCTCATCACTGTCAAACGCTCCCTAAAACACTTTAGCGAGCAGGCCTTCCTAATTGACCTGGCCCAGGTATCCTGGATGGATATCGATCTCATTCCGTCAGTAGAGGATGCCTGGTTGTTCTTTAAAAGTGCTTTCCTCTCAATCTTAAATAAGCATGCCCCATTCAAGAAATGTTGAACTAAGAACAGATATAGCCCCTGGTTCTCCTCAGACTTGACTGCCCTTGACCAGCACAAAAACATCCTGTGGCGTACTGCATTAGCATCGAATAGCCCCCACGATATGCAACTTTTCAGGGAAGTTAGGAACCAATATACACAAGCAGTTAGGAAAGCAAAGGCTAGCTTTTTCAAACAGAAATTTGCATTATGTAGCACTGACTCCAAAAAGTTTTGGGACACTGTAAAGTCCATGGAGAATAAGAGCACCTCCTCCCAGCTGCCCACTGCACTGAGGCTAGGAAACACTATCACCACCGATAAATCTACAATAATCAAGAATTTCAACAAGCATTTTGCTACGGCTGGCCATGCTTTCCACCTGGCTACCACTACCCCGGTCACCAGCTCTGCACCCTCTGCTGCAACTTGACCATGCCCCCCCCCGCTTCTCCTTCACACAAATTCAGACAGCTGATGTTCTGAAAGAGCTTAAAAATCTGGACCCCTACAAATCATCTGAGCTAGACAATCTGGACCCTTTCTTTCTAAAATTAGCCGCTGAAATTGTCGCAACCCCTATTACTAGCCTGTTCAACCTCTCTTTTGTAACGTCTGAGATCCCCAGAGATTGGAAAGCTGCCGCGGTCATCCCCCTCTTCAAAGGAGGTGACACTCTGGATCCAAACTGTTACAGACCTATATCCATCCTGCCCTGCCTTTCGAAAGTTTTTGAAAGCCAAGTTAACAAACAGATCACCGACCATTTCGAATCACACCGTACCTGCAAAAATCTCTGAAGCTGGAGACTCTTATCTCCCTCACTAACTTTAAGCATCAGTTGTCAGAGCACCTTACCGATCACTGCACCTGTACACAGCCCATCTGAAATTAGCCCACCCAACTACCTCATCCCCATATTGTTATTTATTTTGCTCATTTGCACCCCAGTATCTCTATTTGCACATCAACTCTTGCACATCTATCATTCCAGTGTTAATACTAATTGTAATTATTTTGCACTATGGCCTATTTATTGCCATACTCCATAACTTGCTACATTTGCACACACTGTATATATATTTTCTGTTGTATTTTTGACTTTTGTTTTGTTTTACCCCATATGTAACTCTGTGTTGTTGTTTTTATCGCACTGCTTTGCTTTATCTTGGCCAGGTCGCAGTTGTAAATGAGAACTTGTTCTCAACTGGCTTACCTGGTTAAATAAAGGTGATTTAAAAAATAAATAAAACAATACCCCATAATGACAAAGTAAAAACAGGTTTTAGAAATGTTTGCAAATGTATTAAAAATAAAAAACAGATACCTTATTTACATAAGTATTCAGACCCTTTTCTATGAGACTCGAAATTGAGCTCCGGTGCATCCTGTTTCAATTGATCATCCTAGAGATGTTTCTACAACTTGATTGGAAACCACCTGTGGTAAATTCAATGTAATGGACATGATTTGGAAAGGCACACACCTGTCTATATAAGTTCCCACAGTTGACAGTGCATGTAAGAGCAAAAACCAAGCCATGAGGTCGAAGGAATTGTCCGTAGAGCTCCGAGACAGGATTGTGTCGAGGCACAGATCTGGGGAAGGCTACCAAAGAATTTCTGCAGCATTGAAGGTCCCCAAGAACACAGTGGCCTCATCATTCTTAAATGGAAAACGTTTGGAACCACCAAGACTCTTCCTAGAGCTGGCCGCCCGGCCAAACTGAGCAATCGGGGGAGAAGGGCCTCGGTCAGGGAGGTGACCAAGAACCAGATGGTCACCCTGACAGAGCTCTATAGTTCCTCTGTGGAGATGGGAGAATCTTCCAGAAGAACAACCATCTCTGCAGCACTGCCCCAATCAGGCCTTTATGGTAGAGTGGCCAGACGGAAGCCACTCCTCAGTAAAAGGCACATGACAGCCCACTTGGAGTTTGCCAAAAGGCACCTAAAGACTCTCAGACCATGAGAAACAAGATTCTCTGGTCTGATGAAACCAAGATTGAACTCTTTGGCCGGAATGCCAAGTGTCACTTCTGGAGGAAACCTGGCACCATCCCCACGGTGAAGCATGGTGGTGGCAGCATCATGCTGTGGGGATGTTTTTAGCAGCAGGGACTGGGAGACTAGTCAGGATCGAGGCAAAGATGAACGGAGCAAATAACAGAGAGATCCTTGATGAAAACCTGCTCCAGAGTGCTCAGGAACTCCGACTGGGGGCGACGGTTCACCTTCCAACAGGACAACGATCCTAAGCACACAGCCAAGACAATGCAGGAGTGGCTTCGGGACAATTCTCTGAATGTCCTTGAGTGGCCCAGCCAGAGTCCGGACTTGAACCCGATCGAACATCTCTGGAGAGACCTGAAAATAGGTGTGTAGCAACACACCCCATCCAACCTGACAGAGCTTGAGATGATCTGCAGAGAAGAATGGGAGAAACTCCCCAAATACAGGTGTGCCAAGCTTGTAGCGTCATACCCAAGAAGACTCTAGGCTGTAATTGCTGCCAAAGGTGCCTCAACAAAGTACTGAGTAAGGGGTCTGAATACTTACGTAAATGTGATATTTCATTTTTTTTATTCTTAATAAATTAGCAAACATTTCTAAAATCCTGTTTTTGCTTTGTCATTATGGGGTATTGTGTGCAGATTGATGAGGGGAAAAAACAAATGTAATCAATTTTAGAATAAGGCTGTAATCTAACAAAATGTAGAAAAGGTCAAGGGGTCTGAATACTTTCTGAAGGCACTGTAAGTTGCATGGACTCACTCTGTGAGCAATAATAGTGTTTAACATGATTTTTTAATGACCACCTCATCTCTATACCCCACATATACAATTACCTGTAAGGACCCTCAGTTGAGCAGTTTTCCAATGCCTTGCAAAGAAGGGATCCTATTGGTAGATGGGTAAAAATAAAAAAGCAGACATTGAACATCCCTTTGAGCATGATGAAGTTATTCATTACACTTTGGATGGTGTAATGAATAACTTCATCATGCTCAAAGGGATGTTCAATGTCTGCTTTTTTATTTTTACCCATCTACCAATAGGATCCCTTCTTTGTGAGGCATTGGAAAACCACCCTGGTCTTTGTGGGTTGAATCTGTGTATGAAATTCACTGCTCAACTGAGGAACCTTACAGATAATTGTATGTGTAGGGGTACAGAGATGAGGTAGTCATTCAAAAATAATGTTAAACACTTATTGCGCACAGAGTGAGTCCATGCAACTTATTATGTGACTTGTGAAGCAAATTTTTACTCCTTTACTTATTTAGGCTTGCAATAACAAAGGGGTTGAATACTTATTGACTCAAGACATTTCAGCATTTCATTTTTAATAAATGTGTAAAAAAATAAATAATCCACTCAATACACCCAGTCACTACAAAGATGCATGCGTTCTTCCTAACTCAGTTGCCGGAGAGGAAGGAAACTGCTCAGGGATGTCACCATGAGGCCAATGGTGACTTTAAAACAGTTGAAGAGTTTAATGGCTGTGATAGACAACTGATGGTTCAACAACATTGTAGTTACTCCACAATAACCTAATTGACAGAGTGAAAAGGAAGCCTGTACAGAATGAAAATATTCTAAAACTTGCATCCTGTTTGCAACAAGGCACTAAAGTAATACTGAAAAAAGTGGTATGTTTGCGGCAAATCCAATACAACACATTACTTAGTACCACTCTCCACGTGTTTAAGCGTAGTAGTGTCTGCATCATGTTATGGGTATGCTTGTAATCATTTTTTTCAGGATAAAAACGAAACAGAATGGAGCTACGCACAGTCACAATCCTAGAGGAAAACCTGGTTCAGTCTACTTTCCACCAGACACTGGGAAATGAATTCACCTTTCAGCAGGACAATAACCTAAAACACCAGGCCAAATATACACTGGAGTTGCTTACCAAGAAGACAGTGAATGTTCCTCAGTGGCCGAGTTACAGTTTTGACTTAAATCTGCTTGAAAATCTATGGCAAGACTTGGAAAATGGTTGTCTAGCAATGATCAACAACCAATTTGACAGAACTTAAAGAATTTTGAAAATAATAATGTGCAAATATTGCACAATCCAGGTGTGCAAAGGTCTTAGTGACTTACCCAGAAAGACTCACAGCAGTAATCACTGTCAAAGGTGCTTCTATAAAGTATTGACTAAGGGGTGTGAATACTTATGTAAATTAGATATTTATGTATTACATGTATACAATACATTTTCATTATGGGGTGTTGTGTGTAGATGGATTTGGAATTCAGGCTGTAACACAACAAAATGTGGAGTAAGTCAAGGGGTATCTATCTAAAGGCACTGTAGTTGGAGAATTTCAACAAGTTATTAAGCAATCTGAGAAGATCAGTGATTTGGTCCTACATATTTTATTCATGCTTTAATACCTGGGTACTCCACCTGGACATAAAGACCTGCCATTTTTTCTCTGTCTTTATACTGCAATTAGGGTTAAGTGCCTTGCTCAAGGGCACATCGGCAGATGTTTTACTTAGCTTGGGGATTCGAACAAGCAACCTTTTAGTTACTGGCTCATCGCTCTTAACTGCTAGGCTACCTGCTGCCCTACTGTACCGTTTGGTGCAGCCCTGTGTGTTCTGACAGTCATCCTAAATGATTTCATTCATCATGAAACTTACCGGAGACACACTTGACAACCACCCAGTGACGACATATCCTAGTCAATCATATTATACTCATATTATATAATCAGTGTAATGGAGGCTTTTCTAGTAATTTTTTGACCGTGCACTTCTGTGTGCTTCCACCAGAGGGCCTCATGGAGGTAATACTCTACCACCAGCCAGATGACAAAAAGAAGAACCGTGGCTTCTGTTTCTTGGAATACGAGGACCACAAGTCTGCAGCCCAGGCCCGTCGCCGCCTCATGAGTGGCAAGGTGAAGGTGTGGGGGAACCCTGTTACTGTTGAGTGGGCAGACCCAGTAGACGAACCGGACCCAGAGATTATGGCAAAGGTGAGATCTTAAAGACCTGCACCTCGAGTGTCTGAACACCGCAAAGGGATGATAAATCACAGATACTAGGGTGTAGAGAAAATATGCAGATATCTTTCATTTTGAAATAAAATGGTCATCCTATGTCAGAGAACAACTTCTAAAGGCTCTCTTTTGGTCTTCTGTAGCTCAGTTGGTAGAGCATGGAGCTTGCAACGCCAGGGTTGTGGGTTCGTTTCCCACGGGGGGGGGCCAGTATGAAAATGTATGCACTCACTAACTGTAAGTCGCTCTGGATAAGAGCGTCTGCTAAATGACTAAAATGTATGTCAAATGTAAATATCTTCCACCAGGTAAAAGTGCTGTTTGTGAGGAAACTGGCCACACCAGTCACAGAGGAGCTCCTGGAGAAAACTTTCTCCCAGTTTGGGAAGTTGGAACGGGTCAAGAAGCTGAAAGACTATGCCTTTGTGCACTTTGAGGACAGAGCTGCTGCCGTAAAGGTGAGTACAGGCGTCTTCTACGCCTCCTTTGAGTATACATGCTATGTGTGTTTATCTTGTGCTTGTAGAGAATCTCTGGGAAATTCACTTGGGGAAACCCACTACCGTTTAGGCAATGCAAGAAATGAACGGCAAAGAATTGGAAGGCGAGGAGATAGAGATTGTTCTGGCAAAGCCTCCGGACAAGAAGAGGAAAGAGCGGCAGGCCCAGAGACAGCCAACCAGGACCACAGGGTGAGTAGAGGTCGACCACACCTAGCGACGCCCAGTCTGCTTGGAGTGGCTGGTATGACCGTCTTATGACCTGTTTTTGTGTTCTACAGTGCCTTCAGAAAGTATTCATACACATTGACTTATTCCACATTTTGTTGTGTTACAGCCTGAATTCAAAATTTATTAAATATATTTTTTTGCTCACCCATCTACACACGATACTCCATAATGACAAAGTGAAAACATGTTTTTATTGAAAATGAAATACAGAAATATCCCTTTTACATAGGTATTCACACCCCTGAGTCAATACTTTGTAAAAGCACCTTTGGCAGCAATTACAGCTGTGAGTCTTTCTGGGTAAGTCTATAAAGCCTTGTTCACACTGCAGGCCTTAATGCTCAAATCAGTTTTGTTTTTCAAATCCGTTTTGGATTACTGACTGTCCAAACAGCAAGTGACCAAATCAGATTTGTGTGTGTTCAGACATCAGCCATTTGCTGACAAGGCTACACTAGATTTCATAGTAATGACGGGTGTGTGTGCAGTGGTGTAGGCTGATTGGTGGTGGTGCTTGTGCTTCCTATCACTCAGAAGTTATGTAGCAAGCTCAGGTGACAACAATGCCTTCCATGAACGTTTCCCTGTTGCTTTGAATGTTCAAAATCATAGGGTAAGAACACTTTTAAAGCCTCAAAGGATAAGATGATCCAACTTGATCCAAACAAGTCCTTTTTGACAAGCCACAGCATTCAATTAGCTAGCTAGGTAGCTGTTTAGCTTTCTAGCACATTCACTAATTTGTTTGTAAACAATTAACAAGCTAGTTAGCTACCACATGTTCTTATCAAACTGTCAACAGAGTATCTAGCAAGCAACAAGATATGCCGAATAACAGTCTAAAAGCCACTTGAGGGCAGATAAATAAGATTTGACCGTTCAGACACAAGTCAAATGGCCAGGAATCAGATGTATATCTGACTTCAAACCACCTACGAAGGTGTTTTGAAATGTGGCTTGAAATATCAGATTCCGTGTGCTTTTTGGCTGTCCAGACTGCAGGAAAAAGAACAGCTTCTAATCAGATATGCAAATTAATAGGATTTCACAAACTGCCAAAGAGCTTTCCACACCTGGATTGTGCAACATTTCCCCAATATTATTTTCAAAATTAATCAAGCTCTGTCAAATTGGTTGTGGATCAAATCAAATCAAATCAAATCAAATTGTATTGGTCACATGCGCCGAATACAACAGGTGCAGACATTACAGTGAAATGCTTACTTACAGCCCTTAACCAATAGTGCATTTATTTTTAACAAAAAAAGTAAAAATAAAACAACAACAAAAAAAGTGTTGAGAAAAAAAGAGCAGAAGTAAAATAAAATAACAGTAGAGAGCCTATATATACAGGGGGGTACCGGTGCAGAGTCAATGTGCGGGGGCACCGGCTAGTTGAGATAGTTGAAGTTATATGTACATGTGGGTAGAGTTAAAGTGACTATGCATAAATGTTTAACAGAGTAGCAGCAGCGTAAAAAGGATGGGGTGAGGGGGCAGTGCAAATAGTCCGGGTAGCCATGATTAGCTGTTCAGGAGTCTTATGGCTTGGGGGTAGAAGCTGTTGAGAAGTCTTTTGGACCTAGACTTGGCACTCCGGTACCGCTTGCCGTGCGGTAGCAGAGAGAACAGTCTATGACTAGGGTGGCTGGAGTCTTTGACAATTTTGAGGGCCTTCCTCTGACACCGCCTGGTATAGAGGTGCTGGATGGCAGGAAGCTTGGCCCCAGTGATGTACTGGGCCGTACGCACTACCCTCTGTAGTGCCTTGCGGTCGGAGGCCAAGCAGTTGCCATACCAGGCGGTGATGCAACCAGTCAGGATGCTCTCGATGGTGCAACTGTAGAATTTTTTGAGGATCTGAGGACCCATGCCAAATCTTTTCAGTCTCCTGAGGGGGAATAGGCTTTGTCGTGCCCTCTTCACGACTGTCTTGGTGTGTTTGGACCATGATAGATCGTTGGTGATGTGGACACCAAGGAACTTGAAGCTCTCAACCTGTTCCACTACAGCCCCGTCGATGAGAATAGGGGCATGCTCAGTCCTCTTTTTTTTCCTGTAGTCCACAATCATCTCCTTTGTCTTGGTCACGTTGAGGGAGAGGTTGTTGTCCTGGCACCACACGGCCAGGTCTCTGACCTCCTCCCTATAGGCTGTCTCATCGTTGTCGGTGATCAGGCCTACCACTGTTGTGTCGTCGGCAAACTTAATGATGGTGTTGGAGTCGTGCCTGGCCATGCAGTCATGGGTGAACAGAGAGTACAGGAGGGGACTGAGCACGCACCCCTGAGGGGCCCCCGTGTTGAGGATCAGTGTGGCAGATGTGTTGTTACCTACCCTTACCACCTGGGGGCGGCCCGTCAGGAAGTCCAGGATCCAGTTGCAGAGGGAGGTGTTTAGTCCCAGGATCCTTAGCTTAGTGATGAGCTTAGAGGGCACTATGGTGTTGAATGCTGAGCTGTAGTCAATGAATAGCATTCTCACGTAGGTGTTCCTCTTGTCCAGGTGGGAAAGGGCAGTGTGGAGTGCAATAGAGATTGCATCATCTGTGGATCTGTTGGGGCGGTATGCAAATTGGAGTGGGTCTAGGGTTTCTGGGATAATGCTGTTGATGTGAGCCATGACCAGCCTTTCAAAGCACTTCATGGCTACAGACGTCAGTGCTACGGGTCGGTAGTCATTTAGGCAGGTTATCTTAGAGTCCTTGGGCACGGGGACTATGGTGGTCTGCTTGAAACATGTTGGTATTACAGACTCAGTCAGGGACATGTTGAAAATGTCAGTGAAGACACTTGCCAGTTGGTCAGCACATGCTCGGAGTACACGTCCTGGTAATCCGTCTGGCCCTGCGGCCTTGTGAATGTTGACCTGCTTAAAAGTCTTACTCACATCGGCTACGGAGAGCATGATCACATAGTCATCCGGAACAGCTGGTGCTCTCATGCATGCTTCAGTGTTGCTTGCCTCGAAGCGAGCATAGAAGTGGTTTAGCTCGTCTGGTAGGCTTGTGTCACTGGGCAGCTCGCGGCTGTGCTTCCCTTTGTAGTCTGTAATAGTTTTCAAGCCCTGCCACATCCGACGAGCGTCAGAGCCAGTGTAGTACGATTCAATCTTAGTCCTGTATTGACTCTTTGCCTGTTTGATGGTTCGTCGGAGGGCATAGCGGGATTTCTTATAAGCGTCCAGGTTAGAGTCCCGTTCCTTGAAAGCGGCAGCTCTACCCTTTAGCTCAGTGCGGATGTTTCCTGTAATCCATGGCTTCTGGTTGGGGAATGTACGTACGGTCACTGTGGGGACGACATCATCGATGCACTTATTGATGAAGCCAGTGACTGATGTGGTGTAATCATTGCTAGACAACCATTTTCAGGTCTTACCATTGATTTCTAAGCAGATTTAAGTCAAAACTGTAACTCGGCCGCTAAGGAACATTCACTGTCAGCGTAGATTTGGCCTTGTGTTTTAGGTTATTGTCCTGCTCAAAGGTGAATTCATCTCCCAGTGTCTGGTGGAAAGCAGACTGAACCAGGTTTTCCGCTAGGATTTTGCCTGTGCTTAGCTCCATTCTGTTTCGTTTTTATCCTGAAAAACTCACCAGTCCTTAACGATTACAAGCACACCCATAACATGATGCATCCACCACTATGCTTGACAATATGAAGAGTGGGACTCAGTAATGTGTTGTATTGGATTTGACCCAAACATAATGCTTTGCATTGAGGACAAAAAGTTAATTGACCCATTTTTTGCAGTATTACTTCAGTGCCTTGATGCATGTTTTGGAATATTTTCATTCTGTACAGGCTTCCTTCTTTCCACTCAATTATGTTAGGATTGTGGAGTAACTACAATGTTGATCCATCCTCAGATTTCTCCTAACAAATTCTGTAACTGTTTTAAAGTCACCATTAGCCTCATGGTGAAATCCCTGAGCGGTTTCCTTCCTCTCCAGCAACTGAGTTAGGGAGGACGCCTGTATCTTTTGTAGTGACTGGGTGTATTGATACACCATCCAAAGTGTAATGAATAACTTCATCATGCTCAAAGGGATGTTCAATGTCTGCTTTTTTATTTTTACCCATCTACCAATAGGATCCCTTCTTTGTGAGGCATTGGAAAACCACCCTGGTCTTTGTGGTTGAATCTGTGTATGAAATTCACTGCTCAACTGAGGAACCTTACAGATAATTGTATGTGTAGGGAACAGAGATGAGGTAGTCATTCAAAAATAATGTTAAACACTTATTGCGCACAGAGTGAGTCCATGCAACTTATTATGTGACTTGTGAAGCAAATTTTTACTCCTTTACTTATTTAGGCTTGCAATAACAAAGGGGTTGAATACTTATTGACTCAAGACATTTCAGCATTTCATTTTTAATAAATGTGTAAAAAAATAAATAATCCACTTTGATATTATGGGGTATTGTGTGTAGGCCAGTGACAAAAAAATCTAAATTTAATCAATTTTAAATTCAGGCTGTAACAACAAAATGTGGAAAAAGTCAAGGGTGTGAATCCTTTCTGAAGTATTCACACTGAGTGTACGAAACATTAGGAACACCTCTTTCCATGTCATAGACTGACCCGTATTAATGTCACATGTTAAATCCACAGTGTAGATGAAGGGGAGGAGACAGATTAAAGAAGGATTTTTAAGCCTTGAGACAATTGAGACATGGATTGTGTATGTGTGCCATTCAGAGGGTGAATGGGCAAGACAAAAGTTTTAAGAGCCTTTGAACAGGGTATGGTAGTAGGTGCCAGGCGTACTAGGTTGAGTGTGTCAAGAACTGCAACGCTGCTGGGGTTTTCACGCTCAACACTTTCCCGTGTATATCAAGAATGGTCCACCACCCAAAGGACATCCAGCCAACTTGACACAACTGTGGGAAGCAAAGTATTCCTAATGTTCCTGTTTGCACAAAAAACCTGTCATGTTGCCTCTCTTGCTTTGTTGTTGTCACAGGTATGATGATTACTACTACTATCCTGCTCCACGCATGCCACCTCCCATGCGAGGCAGGGGGCGAGGCGGGAGAGGTGGCTATTCATACCCACCAGACTACTACGGTTATGAGGACTACTACGATGATTACTACGGTGGGGGTTACGACTACCATGACTACAGAGGTGGCTACGACGACCCTTACTACAGTGGTTACGATGACGTCTACGCGCCGAGAGGAAGAGGGGGCAGGGTGAGTCGAGGTGCCCCCCCTCCCCCCAGAGGCCGAGGAGCACCACCCCCTCGTGGCAGAGGTGGCTACATCCAAAGGGGGGCTCCTATGGGCATACCGAGGGGGAGCCGTGGGGGCCGGGGAGGCCCGCCCCAGCTGCAGAGGGGCCGTGGCATCAGAGGGGCCCGGGGGAACCGCGGGGGCAATGTGGGCGGGAAGAGGAAGGCTGACGGTTACAACCAACCGGACTCCAAGCGCCGGCAGACCAACAACCAGAACTGGGGCTCCCAACCCATCGCCCAGCAACCCCTGCAACAAGGTGGCGACTATTCTGGTAACTATGGTTACAATAATGACAACCAGGAGTTTTACCAAGATTCTTATGGGCAACAATGGAAGTAGACAAAAAAATTAACGGATTGGGCTTTGACCGCAACTTTTGTATGTCTGTGTGTTAGAGCTGGGCTATATGGACAAAAATCCATATCACGATAAATTGACTGAATTATCACAATAACTAAATTGAAAGATATGTTTATAACTTTAAAGGTCCAATGCAGACGTTTTTATCTCAATATCAAATCATTTCTGGGTAACAATTAAGTACCATACTGTGATTGTTTTCAATTAAAATTGTCAAAAATAAACAAAAATAGCTTCTTAGCAAAGCAATTTCTCAAGCAAGAATTTTGCTAGGACTGTCTGGGAGTGGTCTGAGTGGGGAGGGGGAAACTAGCTGTTATTGGCAGAGAGATTTAAAACTTTTTATTGGTCTATTAACCAATTTACAGGCAGGCCAAAACTCCATCCCACCAAAACAGGCTGACATTTCTTAAATGGCATTATCATACTTTTCACTGTATTATTCCAACCTCATAGTGTGGAAATCACGTTTTTGACAGCACTGGGCCTTTAAAGTGCACCACATATGTTTTTATATTACCCATAAAACTGCTACTACTTCTTTGAATGTTGTACCTATCAATTGTCCCATTAACAATAACCCATATTAGCAAATGTATTTAATTTCAAACTATATAGGTTATATATCGTAATCAACGATAGCAGCAAAATGTCCACGATAAGTGGACGGTGTCGATAATTTTCAGTTTATCGTCCCAGCTCTACTGTGTGTATATATCACCCACATTCTAAGGAAATAGTAACAAAAACATGCATGCATAAATTGGCTTAACATTACCCTTTTTGAAATATGGATTGGTTGCACTACAGTACCTATATAGAGCAAAAGAGTACATAACTTGCTTAATAATTTGTTTTAATCCTTTGTTGCTTTTCTTGTGGCTACTTGGGACGTTTTGGGCTTTAAAAAAGCAAGACAATTATATATAAAAGTCACTTTTTTTTTTTGGTCTGGCATTTACAGGAAAAGTGGACAATCATTTAAAAAAAGAACAATTCTTTGAGAAAGCATTTGCAATCATGAGAACCATTCAGTGACTGGCCACCAACCCCTTCCCAGACCCCCCTCTTTATTGGACATTTTCCCTCCCAGATTTCTGATAGGTAGGCATAGGACATTGCTTGTACAAGGCTTTAAAGTGAGAGCTGTTACAGAGGTGGGTAAAAAAGGAGAGGAAAATTGCACTTTTTCATGTACTGTAACAGTTGCGTTAAAGTTGTATGTTTAGCATTTGTAGAAGTAGACAAATTATGTTTTTCTAAATGTGTTACTACAACTTCAAAACTATTTTCTCTCAAATTTCCCCTTTTAGATAAGGGGTCTGGCAAAACCTTAATCGCCAAGACAATTTGTTCTTTGATGTGTTTGTATTTATACAAATGTTATTGTTACATTTCAATAAAAATCAACCATACTTCATTGAATTATCAGCTATTTCAAATTCAGTCGTGTCGTAGCATATTTTGATCAGACCAATTTTGATCTCCATGTTTGGCCTTGAATGTGAGATATTGGATTTTTTAAATGAAAGACACAAAACAACGACTTTTATTGGGATCAAGTAGTTCTTTCACTGATGTTTTACTATTCCGTTTTGGGCATCTTTACACCAAAATGTGTAAGTTGAGTGACCAACGCATTTACACCAAACACCTGGCAGTTCACACTAATGTGCTCTTTCCTGCATTCCCCCTCCATTACCCAGCAATATAAATAGTACAGCATCTTTTTCTTACATTTTGTTATCGTTTTAATTTCTTATTTAGCTACTCTCCCATTTTATAAAAATTGAACAGTTTTTTATTTAGTGTTTTGTTTGTTTAAGTTTCTCCTTTTATTCCGAATTACCCCAGGTGAAGACGCGAGAACGGCAGCGGTTGAGTGAGTGAGGAACACATCTATTCTCTGCTGTGTTCTTCCCCAAAGAAGGGTGAGCCTGGTTTACCTCTTCACCGCTAAACTGGCGCTACCCCTCTGCTGAGGGGCCTCAGCCCACTTCACTTGTTTTGCTCAGTAAAATAATACACCAGTTTGATTACATCAGCTAGTGTCTAATTTTAACTTATGTTAAAAATGACAATTCATTTTCTAGTCAACACCTCTAGTAAAACTAATTCTGGTAACATGAATGGGAATTTCTGCTTAATACTTAGAGACGTACGAGTGAACAAAGATAATGCAGTGATGTGTTTACTGAGTAAAACATGGAGAATAGCGCTTTTCTCTTATAAGGACTTCAGTCACCAAGCTTCCCAAAACTAGCACTGCCTTAAACAGATATTAGACTACCTTGCCAGAGACCAAAGATGGGTACAGATTATGCAGATTATACTAGGTGAAAGTAAAAAGTTCACTGCAGTCCTGAACAAAACAAAAAAGGGGCAGATGAAAAAGGAATAGTCTTTGTTTATATGCATCATTAGCTTGGTTGTTTAAAGTCAAAAGTTCACTGCCATCCTGAATAAGAAACATAAGAGGGCAGATGAAAAAGACTAGCCTGTGTTTACATGTAACTTTTTTGTTTTAATTAACCCGGAAAAAAATAGAATTAAAGAAAAACATTCAACTACTTCCTGTACTCAGGACAATCCTGTTTTATAAACCTATCATGGCCACATGTCCCAAATGCTCATGTCTAAATTTGGAAAACCGATGATCCTCTGAAGATACTGATAAATATTTTTCTGCTCACCATTTTCAATCTTGAGGACTAATGCAATTGGAATATTATGTCTGCTGAACATCTCGTGGAAGGACCACACGATTGGCTAATCTGTTTGTACAGACTGATTGGATCCTGTTGCCTCATAATGGATCTTTGGAAGTACAGATGGACTTTATGATCACTGATCTTTGTCTCTGCTCTGGCACCCTATCTAGGGTGTATTTAGATATACATCAATTCAAATTTGCCAAACCTAATCTGTTCAAGGGCACAGAAATTGTATGCCTTGGAGTTGAACCAACAACCACTTCAGTCATCTGTTTATACCATCAGACATTACTTTGCTGATCAGATATGTCTTCTGACAGACTATTAGATAGACAGAATATAGCTGATAGCATGCTACTATTGTATTATAGGCAAAATACATTTTGTTTAGAATAGGCCAGTTTTTCTAGTGTTTATCATTTTGTTGGAGGTTAGTGAATAGTGATATTTGATATATTAGTATTTTCAATACAATGGCATCTGGTATGAGTTTTTTGTCTTAGTACAGTTGATGGTCGACTTTTACAAGAGAGACAAATATGATATCATATTTTTCTTCATTATTAATATAGCCTTGAATGTACAAGAAGGAAATGTTTTATACAGTGGGGTCCTAAATATTGACACCCTTGATAAAAGATTAGCATAAATGACTATAAAATAAATAATTCAAATACTGAGCTATATTGTATGCAAAACAAATGGGGAAAGTATATATTTTTTATACGAATACAATTGCTCAGAGAAAGATATAGATATATATATATATTTTTTTTTTACAAGAAATATAGAGAACACATTGGGAGGGATCTTAGACCATTCATCCATTCAGAATCCTTCCAGATTTGTATTATACATTTTATACAGTCTTTTTTGCTAATCTTTATCAAGATGCTTGATATCCTATGACAAGATGCTAATTTGCTTGAAATCAATTGAAAAACGCTGGGTAAAGACATATACAGAACATTTATTTTATACTCAGTTTGCAATGCAATGAGATTTTGCAATTAGAACCAAATGATCACTGAACCAGAAGCCAAATACAATTGATTATTACCATGTTACAAATGATTCAACAACCAAACAGTGCCAAAGCACTACACCCAACTTTACAAATTCATGACCAAAACCGTTTTGAATCTCTAACCTGTGGTTCCAAAAATAACAGGAAAAAATCAACAAAAGAATCGGATTAATTTCAGGTGACTTCCAGGAAGAGTGATGTAAGTACTTCCCTAGCATATTTTAACTCCTTGCTTTTGTCACCTGGCTTATCTATCAGGGTGCGTGTCCGAGGTGGCCCCGACCCAGTCTTGTCACGATGTGGACTTGCTAGGTGGGGCTCGCAGTCAGAGGCAGCTGTGAGGACTACAGGGTAAGTTTAGGACGTTTTCTTCCTAAACCGTTCGTTCTCTTTCACTGTTTTTCTTACTCTTCCCCTTATTGAGGTTTCACCAAATTCCTGTGGGGAATAAGATCCTGAAAGCTGAAGTCAGTTTCTGGGTGAGGTAAGAGAGAAAAGTATCCCTTAATAACCCTTTACACTTGTATATGGGTTGAAAATGGCAGGTTTGGGCACTGATAAGCGCCCTAAATTGGAACGCAGTGGCTGTACAGTAACATGCTATAAATGACGTCAGAGCACAGGCTATGCGCGTCACAGCGATGTATGGGTTTTGACTGACAGCGGTTCTGAGTTTGAGCACCGCACGCGACATTTTTTGTTGTCTGAGTGAGGGAAATGCTGTAAATTTAGAGGACTCAACAATGTGTTTCGAAAGATGAGACATTGAGGATTATAATAAATACAGCTTTGATGTCATGCAAGCAAGCCAAATACCCATGAGTCCAAATGTGCACTTCACATTTCCATATCATAAAACTCATGACATATACAGTGTCAACGTTTATGATGACTATGTTTGATGTACAGTTACAAGATGACATGGCATCATACCCTGGGTTGTTCTGAACAGAAGGATCCTATGTTTGTCTATTGTGAAGAAAATCTCACCACAGAACACACCTCATGACTCCTTTTCTATGCGCACCAAAATTGCAATCTGTTTCTCTGAATTGGTTAAAGCCGAACACTGTAAGATCGTATTTTATAACTTAGCTAGTCATGTTGGCAATAAAACAAGTATTCAACAAGCCCACCTGACCCAGATTGCAATTTATAATGGGCCGTTTTTTGGATTGCGTAAACAACAATAGTAATTGTGTGATGCGGGGATGCAGGGTTGTCTTCCAAACGAAACAACTACAAGTGTGCTTGCCCTAGTTCCTCAACAGCACAGCTAGGAGAGCTAAAAAAAAGTACCTTATAGTTGAACTCTTCTTTGAGTCATAAAAGTGCATTGAAATTGCATAGGAACTGCACACTTTGGAGAGGTGTGTGTGACCACTTGGAGACACCAGTTAGTCCTCTCACTCAAACCCTTATGTTGCACCTAACCCACATCTTCCAGGAATATTCTTATCATGTTAGTAATGTATCCAGAGTATTTTCAGATTTCGTTATCAACAAATGCAGCAAAAAGTACAGCAAATGTCAAATGCACATACAGTGCATTCATAAAGTATTCAGACCCCTTTACTTTTTCCACATTTTGTTACGTTACAGCCTTATTCTTAAATGGATTAAATAGTTTTATCCCCAATCTACACACAATACCCCATAATGACAAAGCAAAAACAGGTTTTTAGAATTGTTTACAAAAAAAGAAAAAAAAGATCACATTTACATACGTTTTCAGACCCTTTACTTAGTACTTTGTTGAAGCACCTTTGGCAGCGATTACAGCCTCGAGTCTTCTTGGGTATGACGCTACAAGCTTGGCACACCTGTATTTGGGGAGTTTCACCCATTCTTCTCTGCAGATCATCTCAAGCTCTGTCAGGTTGGATGGGGAGCGTTGCTGCACAGCTATTTTCAGGTCTCTTCAGAGATGTTCGATCGGGTTCAAATCCGGGCTCTGGCTGGGCCACTCAAGGACATTCAGAGACTTGTCCCGAAGCCACTACTGCGTTGTCTTGGCTGTGTGCTTAGGGTCGTTGTCCTGTTGGAAGGTGAACCTTCGCCCCAGTCTGAGGTCCTGAGCACTCTGGAGCAGGTTTTCATCAAGGATCTCTCTGTTTTTTATTTAATGTTTTTATTTCACCTTTATTTAACCAGGTAAGCCAGTTGAGAACAAGTTGTCATTTACAACTGCGACCTGGCCAAGATAAAGCAAAGCAGTGCGATTTAAAAACAACAACACAGAGTTACATATGGGGTAAACAAAACAAAGTCAAAAATACAACAAAAAAATATATACAGTGTGTGCAAATGTACTTTGCTCCGTTCAACTTTCCCTCGATCCTGACTAGTTTCCCAGTCCCTGCCGCTGAAAAACATCCCCACAGCATGATGCTGCCACCACCATGCTTCACCGTAGGGATGGTGCCAGGTTTCCTCCAGACATGATGCTTGGCATTCAGGCCAAAGAGTTCAATCTTGGTTTCATCAGACCAGATAATCTTGTTTTTTTTATGGTCTAAGGGTCCTTTAGGTGCCTTTTGGCAAACAACAAGCTGGTTGTCATGTGCCTTTTACTGAGGAGTGGCATCCGTCTGGCCACTCTACCATAAAGGACTGATTGGTGGAGTGCTGCCGAGATGGTTGTTCTTCTTGAAGGTTCTCCCATCTCCACAGAGGAACTCTGGAGCTCTGTCAGAGTGACCATCAGGTTCTTGGTCACCTCCCTGACCAATCCTGACCGGAGCTCTACGGACGATTCCTTCGACCTCATGGCTTGGTTTTTGCTCTGGTTTTGTTTCCAAATTATGTCCAATCAATTGAATTTACCACAGGTGGACTCCAATCAAGTTGTAGAAACATCTCAAGGATGATCAATGGAAATGGGATGCACCTGAGCTCAATTTCGAGCCTCATAGCAAAGGGTCTGAATACTTCTGTAAATAAGGTGTTTCTGTTTCATATTTTTTATACATTTGCACAAATTTATAAAAACCTGTTTTTGCTTTGTCATTATGGGGTATTGTGTGTAGATTGATGAGGAAAAACATGATTTTAATCTATTTTAGAATAAGGCTGTAACGGACAAAAATGTGGAAAAAGGGGTTTGAATACTTTCCGAATGCACTGTAAATTAAGCAGTGTAATGTTTGGATTCAGTCTTGTGTCAGGTGAACTGTTGTGTCTTAAACTTTGGTCTTATAATTTTCCCATAATCTCCAAAATGTTCCCTTTCAATTGT